ACTTTCGTATAACGCTAAGACGATAGACGGTTACTCTACCGCCGCGAATTTTCTAGCACGCATCACTACATATTTACATTTCTAAAACCAAAACTTTATTTATTTTTACTTATACACCACCATATCTATGCATGAAAAAGGTCTCTTTCAACTTTTCCAAGTTAAAACTGTGATCCTTTTTATTGATATGAAAGATTTAAGTGGTATAAATGTAAATAAAATAAAATTTAACTGTAAGATATATAAATTCATATAAATTGGATAGTATATATATAGGTAAATACTCTTTTCTCATCAAGAAAGCCAATTGCCATGTTCCTGCTCTCTTCTGAAACAACCAATCAAGAAGCCGCACTTTTCTCTAAAACCAAATGTAACTGAAGTACAAATGATACTCACCTCGAGGGCTTTGGAAGGAACAAGCCAAGCTTCTGGTACCTGAAGGTCTTGAACTAGGGTTTCCGAGCCTTCCTCCTCCGGGATACCGGAGACGGAGAGATGGACGCGTTCGCGGTGAGGTTTCGAGGAGCGGAGTGGATCAACGGGGGCGAATCGGGACTGGGAGAATGATAACCTCGAAGGTACGATAATGGCGGGCGTTCGGATGGGGAAAGAAAAGAAGAAGAGACGAGGAGGCTGCGGATTGGGCTACCGGGCGGCGGTGGGGATCCCCTGATTTCCATCATCTCCCACCTCGAAGTGATTGAGTGTTTTTCTAATCGTGTTCTGCCGGCTCTACGTAATTCGTGACTAATATGTTCTTTGTTAATATTTATTTATTTATTTATTTAAAATGTAATAGATTATATAAATTTATACTTAAATTTAAATCACTATATCTACTGTGAGATCTTGTAATTCTTTAATTTTTATTACATTTGAATGGTGTATGTTCAAATCCAACGCTCTATATTATTTTTTTTAATTAACTTAAATGAGCCAATTTGAGTCGGGCACGAACTGACAATGAACGGGAACTTTTTTTCGAAGCGAACATAAATGAATTGTTCACTAGCCATTTTTGACATGAGCCAATTTCAAATTCAAAAAAAAAAAAATAAACATAAAAAGTCGAATACTAACACAAGTTTAGTTCACTAAAGATTTGCTCTTATAGCATGTCATTGTTTAGACTTGACTTTGTCGAATCATAAGTTGTTAATATTCTTCCTGAGCTTGAAACGAGCTTCTAAATAAGTTTGTATTTAGCTTGCATAAAATTTTTAATATCCATATTTGATCTATACCCAACTTGTTTATATTAATTAAAATGCTAAAATTCAAGAAATAGTTAATTTTCTATATAAAGTTAATCATTTGATTGGTACATAATTTTTCATATAAAACAAATAAAAAATTAAAAAATGTAAAGGAGTATTGGATTTTTTTTTTTTTTTAATATTATCAGATAGTTTTATGAATCTAAATATATAAACAATTGAATAGATTTGGAATTAGCATCAAACTAATTATTTCCAAATAAATGAAAAAATACATGAGTTAATTTTTTATAATCAAATAATAAAGATAAATAGTAACAAACTAGTTCATTAAAATAAAAAATTAATGAAATTACAATAAATTTTTGTGTATATTGATATTAAATTATAATACACTGTTATTAAATAAGTTATAATTAATCAAACTTCATTTAAATAATATATCATATATATGCATAAAAAAACATTTAACAAGTTATTTGTTGAACAACAAATAATATATATATATATATATATATATGTATATATATGTATATGTATGTATATATATATAT